CCTCCCTCCCTCCCTCCCTCCCTCCCTTCCTGTGCTTTCTTCTCTCTTGAATCCAGAATCACTGTCTCTATTTTAGCTGAACAACTGGCACCTCTGGAGGTACCAAGCCTTGTCATTAAATTCATTGGAGCTAAATCTAGGATTTTATGCCTAGGTATTCTTGCCTGTAATATTTAGGAAAAACTCAAAATTTGACAAAATACTGAAGCCTTTATTCAGGAAAGCACCTTAACAGATGCTTGGGTGCATATGCAAGTAAGATTGTGACATTCTGAATTGGGATTTCAATTCGTAACTTGCATCAACCAACATTTATTGAAAAAGGTTACTATTTTTATAAGTCATGATATAGCGACTGAAGCTTTTAAATACCACTTCTCAGAAGAATTGTCTGACAAGTAATGATTAGGTTGTTTCTATGTATCATAAAATATGTTTTGTAAATTATATCATGATTTTATAAAACCAGATACATTTTTTGTGTTCTAGCATTTAAAACCTATCATTTTATCTATCTATATATTTATCTAAAAATGAGGATATATTTCCTTATTTTATTAACTAAACGCATATATTTGTGTTGCAAATTGTCAGTTATCTTAATTATTTCGTGTTTGATACTACCAAAAGAGCATGAAAATTCACATATAAGAGGATTTGTTTTAGTTAAACAATAGTATTTTGTCCTCTTTCATTCCCTGTATATACACTCACAATTAACATACAAAGGAGACTTTAATTCTGCTTTCACACACGCATATGACACCCAGGTCCCACTGTGAATATGGAATGCATAAACAGCCACGACATACCTGTAACCTGCCAAAGGGCTGTCACGAAAATGAATTCACTTTTCGTGCTGCAGTCATTTCTGTGACAGTCTCTAGTGAGAATCTGCATGAAATGTTTGACCACATGGAAAATCCAAATCTCTTGACAGGTCTGTCATTATACATTATAGAGCATAACAAAATAGTTTAAAGTTTTACTCCATTAAATCTAAAAAGGAAATGCACATGATTTAAACCAAATGGGAAACTTCACTCTTGTATTAAAACCCCCTTTTTGTGTTTTATTCAGTGTGGCTGTTTTGAAGAATACTTGCATTAAATATTGACTGGAGCCATCTCTGCATTTTAAATATTTTTGAGAAACCATTTTAAAAGAAATCAGGATATTTTTACTTTTTTATTTATTATTTCCTTGCTGAAGAGCTTTAACTCGGGCTGACCTTGAGCTATGAACTTCCTTTCCTGTTTCAGGAAACAAAACTGCCTTTGCATGAAATATGCTTCAAAAGCCCTGGCAAGCCAAAGAGAAAATCATTGCTAGAACTTGGGCAAATAGCATCTGAACCAAGGGAAAACTTTCCTTGAGTGTTGAAATCATGTCCCACCCAAAATGGAAATTTTATATGACCTAAATGACTTAAGAAAACATGATCGCTGAGCAAACTAATATGTATTCTCACCACCTTTGGGAAATGATTTTAACTTAGCTGGATTTCCTAATTTAGCTTTTATTTTTGATGTCATATCCACACTGCAGCCTTAAACCATATCTAATGGACACTGGCTTTTGATTTAAATTCAAGACTTGAATAGTATGCTTGTTCTATTGCCTACTTGACTTTACCAGAAGAGTTCACTTAGTTTTTTGACAAGACAAGCCCCTGATATTTCTTCATACTTTTAACATCTCTTGCAAGTCAACTTTAAACTCTACCCAAGAAACCAAGTGCCATTTTATTGCCACAGGTATCTCCTCTATTGATTAGCTGTAGATTCCTATTGGGCTTTCAGTCCTGTCTAAATTCATGTCAGTTTTAACACTTCCAAAAGACTTAAAATTCACTTGACTCTCTTCCTTTTCTTTTTCTTTCCTTCCTTATTTGCTTTCACCATTTCAAACTCTCCTACTCACTCATCCACTATCATTTTGGTCCATTGGTTTTGATTTGTCTGACACTGCTCTTCATCAGTGCAGTCGCTGCATGTGTTAACATGGGATACCTGTTATTTTCATTATTTAGTCCCAACCCCTATGTCTCCCTCTTCGAAATCAGTGAGCACACCCAGTGACGCAGGCAGCCAGGACTCGGGAGATCTGGGACCCATAGGAAGGTAAGACACAGAGTTGATAGCGATGAATAAATGTGGGGTTTTTTCCACTTTGCTCTTACTTTCCCATTTTTACCTTTGCTTCTGTGAATAAGAATGTGTTGTATCTAATGTGTACTTTTGTTTCTGCATTTTCCACTGTGTGTTACCATCCAGTAAGAGTGGTCTCAGACGTGAGGTAAATAAACGCATGCAGGGTGGTGGGGTGTGTGTAGGGCATGGGCACAAGAGCAACCTTATCTTTGTTCATATGGCTGAAACAGGAAATGAAGTGCCAATCCCAAAATAATTTCTACACTGGAACAGAAAAGAAAGGAGGACGCTGCTGGTAAAGGAACATATGTTCAAGTAAGAAGAGGTCCAAGCAACTATACTGTATATTTTGAGAAATGTAAAACACAGGTCCTAATAGCTCTTTTTGTATCAAACATAAAGCTGAGCTGCCAGCTCATCCAAATCTGTGAGCCAAGACATTGCTAATCACTTGAAAACACAGTGATTGCCCTCTGCAGTTAACAGTTGTCAGGAGTAGACACCATACCTCTACAGACATCAGCGCTAATGTCTCAGGGCTTCAGGTCACCAGATTTCATACCGCACCAGCCTTCTGCTTAGAAAACTCACACCTCTGTAAGCTGAAATTATTTTGTGTCCCCCCTTCAGCCGGATGCAGACACCGTCCCTTGCAACATGGAAGTTGCACAGCTGCTGCTGAATCTGCTCAGCCATTCTCTCAGGTCTACCCTCTAGAAGAAATGGAGGTTGTTAAGTAGAAAAGCCTTAAGATATTGAAGTTCAAAACATAGAAAACAGTGAAATGCTGAATTCATAAATAAATGCAGTAGACTTCAACAAATCAAAGTACTTTGAGCAGAACAAAAATTGTTTTTCAGCAAAGTATAGCCTGCTGTTCAGGATAAAGCTGTTTCCCACAGTCCTACATGAAGCTACGACAACGCTGGCTGGAGGCTTCTGAATTCCTGGTTTTCTTCTGAACCTTAATGCTGTAACTTTTTTACTGTTAAGGTAGTGAAATGCCCTTGGAAGAATTTATTTTACTGTGACGTATGCTAGCATGCTGTCAGCAGCGAGCAGTGAAAGCACATGACCACGTGTCCATACAGAGGAGAACAGAGTTTGTCCTCTTCTTCACAGCTCACAATGTACTGCCTTGCGGGCTTTTGTTGTGGATCCATTTTCTGGCTTCTTGTGGCCATGCTAGGAATTCAGTGGGAATCCCAAGACTGTGTTTGTAGTCCCCCAGCTTGCTTGCCATCCTCTCTGGTATTGAAAGGGCTGTGTTGTGTGCCAGGAAGGCTGAGGGTGTTTGCCTGCAGTGATTGGTTTGTGGTAATGGAAATTCGATAATGTCTGGTCCTGGCCCTGGGGAATCTCTGTAATCTGTGGGTAGTACTGGGTGACAATTAGCTTGTCACTGGGTGCAGGTAGATGTGCTCAGTGTGTGATTGTGGGAATGAGTACACTCAAGCGTGCATATGTGATAGAGCAGTCAAACTTGGAGAGGAAGTTGTTGGTAGACCTCTCATTGCGATGGGTAAACAGGATGAAACCACCACAGCTGTTTTCTCCCTGAGATGCCTAGACCGTACTTCTGACTTATTTTGACTACTGCATATATGAATGCCTGTTTATCTGTACAAGCAAGGTTACTCTGCTTCCTTTTAATGTATCCTTCCATGTCGCTCTCTGTCGTAGAGGGCGCTTTCCCTGGATTCCCTTTCATGCCGTTGTGCCTGGAAAATCTTCCCCTTTTCGCCATTCTGCTCCAAATTTGCTGTACAATGGTAGGCTGAGCACAGGCGTTAGAGGAGAGCAGATTAATTCCAAAGCTGCTCATGCCCCAGTCTCAGAGATAACGGCTTGTCTGTCATTGCTGCTAACACTGCTGCAGAAATAATGAGCTCGCACAGGCTGGCAGAAATCCTGTATGCAGTCTGATTACTCTTTGCTGAAGTGTTTTCCAGAGGAAGATATAGATATTAAAAAAAAAAGCTGTGAGTCATAGATTTTGGTTTACTACAGGAGAGAGGCCTTGTTGAAAGCTTTGAAGAAAGCAAGAGATCCTCATACATTCCCATCTGAGGCAGCAGTTTCCGATGCAGAACTAGGTTGGGTTCATACTCTGTGAGTTGTTGGCACTTCTGGTAGTTATCAGGCAATGTATCAATCTTAATATTGCCAAGTATATCTGAGGTATGTTTTGATTAACAAGCACCTGTGATTTCATACAGAACAGTGAATGTAGTTTAGCCAGAAAGTCAGGTTTATGACATCCACTTTTTGGGACGGACAACTGATAAATTGGAGAGCGTTTGGACAGTGTTAAGTAGTTGTTATCCTGAAACCACAGACCTCACCTACCTTACTTTGCAAGACGAAAACTAACTGGTTTCTTGCTCACCAGGTGTAATAGTTATATGGGGAGCAAAAGGGCCCCAGCAGGCGATGTGTAAGAGCAGCAAATTGTTTGGTGTTGAGGCTGGACAAATAAAAAACCAGAAAAACTTCATAAAAATTTAATGGCAAGACAGGTTAATCACCGTAAAAGCAATTTACCTAAAGACTGTCACTGGACGTTTCTCATTCAGGATAATGTGCCTGCCCAACAGGCAGATAACGGGTCAAACAATAATTCCTTCAGAGAAGTTGTACAGCTTTTTTGTTGCATGGTCACCATGGTCCCTTCTGCCATACGATCTCCAGACTAGTAGTGCTGCTATCCTGCAGGACCATGGTCCGTTATCTCCAGCCCAATAGCTAGAGCAATGCTGTCTTATCCCTGATGCCATTGAGCTTGTTAGGAGAAGGTGTGGGGCAGACTCTGTAATAGCACTAAATTATGGAACCATTTCTGTCCTGTGCAGCCCAGGTTTTTATGGGTTTTTGTGCTGCTTGGCCTTTAGTACCATGTTGCTATTTGTCATAGCCTTTTCACTAGGGATAACACTAGGTTTGGGGAGCGTTCCAGCTTCCCCCTGAGCCATGACAGCAACAGTAAGAATGAGCAGATGTTAGATGAACAACGATGCTAGAAACTATTGACAGTTTTCTTTGAGTGTTTTCAGTTGGACAGGAGAGCCAACTTTTTTATTTGGTGGTCTTGGCGATCAATTCTGGGCAGGCAGAGTCTGGAAGATTTTACCATCACTGTGTGCTTAAGTAGTAGGTTGATTATGTGCTGCTCTTCGTTATCAGTCTGCTCTGAAGAATTCATTACTCTGTTGTTGCACAGAGGGCACCTTGCCTGTCTCCCCATTGCTTTGCACACCCCACTTCACTTTTCTGATGGCAGCGTTGCTTGTACTACGCAGATAGAAGAGGAAAATGGCAGCACAGCCTGAACAGATACCTGTCTCTGTGTACCTGGGTTATTGGTTCACTGGGCTTTCTCTTATGATGTATTCAGATGTGACTCATTTTCCACAAGACAGTGTTGCAGGATGCCTTGAAGATCCTCCTTCGAACAGAGTGTGCTTGGCTCTTTCAGGGTAAGAGACATTGATGCCCAGTGTCCTATTGCTGATGGTCAGCTTATTACAGACATGCCCATCTGAAACATAGATTTCAGCTGACTAGATTTGAGTAAATGTTGTGAAGAAAGGGGCTGAGTTAAAGGCATTTGCTGAGAGCTTCTGTGTTGTAATATGGTGTGAAACACAAATTTGCCTCTTCAAGACTATCAATATGGAGCTTCTTCATCATAACCGTATGCATCTCAGCCCTCCCTAGTAGATACTCTTGAGTTTTTGCTACGTTAGTGTGGCAGAGAGGCCGCTGGCTATCGTAGTACAACTGTCACGAAACTGTGCCCATAGGGAGGCATGTTTGACTACTCAACATACCTTAGACATTGATAAATCTCATCTCAGCACGCACACCTATGGACAGCATGTTTGTGTCGACTGGGAGAGTACACAAGGACAGGGAGCCAGGCAGTGCAATACCAGGTCTTGTGGGCTGAGCCAGCTCTCTGGAAAAGCCCCAGTGTCCTGTCACAGGTAGAGCCAGAGCACTAGGCTTGGTCTGCGCTTTGAGTCCCAGCTCAACATAAGTTAGCAGAAATATATCCGTGCTGGAAGGATGCGCTCCTGTGGCTGGGGAGCTCTCGTCCTAATAACTAGCCTGCATTGGTGTGTATTCATGTATGACCCACAGGCTGGCTGGCTCTTCACCCTGGCATGTTGCACGCTTGGAGGAGTTGCATTTGTGGACCAAGGTGTGATTTATCTGCGTGGCCCATTTTTCCCCTGTGTTCCTCACCACTCCCGTATGTTCCCAGCTGGCATCATTACCCTGCAATGGCAGGTTTGCACAGCAGCACCCCATTTATTGTTGGGCTGGGCTCTGTGTGTGTGTGCGTGCAGTGAAGTCCCGTGCATGCAGCACTTCCCTCTGTGCACTTTGTACTGGAACATGAGAATCCCATTAGGCTGCATATAAGGTTTCCCACCTTCCATCTGCTGAGTAAACTGCACCAGGCTCAGCTGTCTTGGACCTGTAAAGGTTAATGGTTGCCTTTCTTTCTGGAACAGCTTCCTCTGTGCTCTTTTACTTTCTGACTTGCATATTTTGCTGCCCGTACGTTTAGATACCTGATTATTTTGTGGGCTCCCATAAACACGAAGATGATAGGAAGCGTTCTTCATCTTCTGGTAGCTTCTTTGGGAGGATGCTTACTTCAGTGTGGTGTTTTATCTGCTGTAAAATAATGCAAGGTGGATTATTTTGTACTGTTTCTCTCACAGTCCATTGGTTTTGGTGAGCTTGTCTGGCTACAGCTACTCATTCTATAATTATTGTTCCTTCTTGGATTAGGGCATTACATAATAATTAGTTTAAATGGTTCTTACCTGAATTATGTTGTTGTTCCATTGGTAGCACAGTTTTGAGATGTGTTTGATGCACTGAAATCAGTTAGCTTCCTTCAGTGTGTGAAGTGTACTTGCAGTAAAGCAGGGGTAGTCCTTATGTAGATGAAACTG